TAGTCTGTGTCGCTCGACACAAACACCGTGTCGCTCGACACAGAGCCCAGAAAACGCAGAAAACCAGAATCGATCATATCCTCTCATGGATCGATTCCAGACGCGATCTCCTGCACAAAATTCAATATCCAAACACGAATACAACCAGGAACAACAGCAATCAATCATATTCCATCAAATCCTAATCTGAGGGTCTATGGTCGCGCATTCACTTTGATTTCGGAATCGATTATCTCATCAACCACAGCTCCGAAATAGAATTGGAAAACTGTTCTGAAAACTAGKCAGAGAGATCTACACAACGGTATGTAGATCGTCCTCTGKGTCCCTAAGATTCAACGGGAAAATAGCCCGCAATCTCGCTGATCGGAATTGGAAAAACAGAGATTTCAGAAACGATACCCTGAAATTGAAAGAACACAGAGAACGGAGATTACCTCCGAATCAGGATCAGAACCCTGATCTAGAAACTAGACAGCGAAGTCTTTCCAACGGCATATGGATCGTCTCCTGATTCTTTCTGGTTCAACGGGAATCCTCCCTCGAAGTGGACTGATCGCAGACACGAAACTGCAAAAACCTCTCACGGGAAAAGAACGATAACTCTCAGAATACACATCCGATTTACAAACCGTTTCCTCCTGAATCAAGATTAGAGAGTGGAGAACTTACCCTCAAAGTGTCACTCTGATCCGAGTCCATCTTCCCAGCCGATCGTCTCTTCCAAAAACCCGAGCATAATTGATTTTCTCTCAAGGAAATCACTTCTCTCACAATCCTCACATAAACACTCTCTTTCCTCTCTCAACCTCTTCTGATTTCGGCCAAAAAAAAAGAGAAAACGCGTTCCCCACGCTTTTATAATGAACTAAACCGTTCCCCAAATCGGCAAATCAGAAACCGAAACCGTCTCTGATTTTACTCCGATCGACACACATGCCCAAAAAAAATCCCTTTTTTGGTTCACGGGCGTTACGTAAAGCATCTGCTATCGGTATCTATTTAACTTGCATGCATGGTAACTGTGGTCTTCTGCAGGGTGCTCTTAGGAAGACCATTGCAGTCTTTGTTTATATCTTTGCAGAAATGAGGGACTCTGTCTGGGATTTTCTTGAGCAGTATGACCTGCCTGTGGTTGTGGGATCAACGGTTGGAAAGAGTGACCAATCTTCTCAGGTATGTGCATGGCTTCTATGGGATAGTTATTAGTAGACTATTTCTACCTGTTTAGTTAATATCTCTATTTTTAGTGAGAGTATAAAAGAAGTCTACCTGTTTTCTCATATTGCAAAGATTTGCATGCAAATTTGTATAAGAAGTCTATTTTATGCATTTAGTTCTTGTATATATTGGTCCAATGTTTACATAATCTGCATTTTTGTTTATCGGCATCTTCAGGTTTGTTTGCGATCATGTATTCTCCCCTTTTCCTCAGAGGGCGTATTCAGATCCTTGCGAGAAGTGGGAATTGGTTGTGGCAAGCCTTCAGCATTTTCACATGTAAGCTCCTGTTTCTTTTGCAATATCTTTCTCTTTCTTGCTCAGTCCAAAATATGAATCCTGTTTTTTAAACAGAAATTAGGACATGTTTGTGCTTGTTTAACTGCCCATATTGTTCCTACCTTCTGTATAGTTTGAACAATATTTTTCTCATAAAGCACAATCAGCATGCCCTTCCTTGTATTTATGTTATGGCACCAGGATAGGCCTACACATGACGGTCAGGTAACTTAATGCTAATTTCTGTTATTGCTGCCTTTGTATATAATTCTTTCACATGATCATAATCACATTGTTGCCTTGCTGGTGTATGTCAGATATGATTCTCTTCCTCGGATTCAGCGATCTTCAATCAAAATTATGAACATTCTAAGGTGGTAACAACTTTTGTTTGAGCTACTATTTTTCCACTGCTCTGTAGTTTGTTCAACCACATGTAGCTTGGTTTCACAGATTGCATTAGCAAATACCATTACGAACTATCTTTCAGATCCTCTGACTTTTGGATATTTGATTGTTTTCCTCAGCTTTGGATAATTTGCTTAACCTTGTGTTTTTATATGAATTAATGGGTTCAAATAAATCATACTCTTGATGACAGTTCTCGCTTGGTTGGACTTGTTACAATGCTGATTAAAATTAATGCTGCGAATTCCTTGATTGAGGATTATGCGGACTGCCTTGACCTACGAATGGAAGAGGGTGAAGCTGTAGAGAACAACAGTTGTGATGATCTTGAGGTTCTTATCATGCCGGTTATTATCATTAATTGACTGTTTAACTTAATCGAGTTTCATATTATGTGCACTATGGCCGGCCTTATCATCACGATTGTTTCATCTGTACACCTTATATCATCTAAAAGATATGACCGTTGCATTTGGAGCTTCTGGTTGATAACATCAACCGGCCTGCACCAAATATCTATCACACATTTGCTTCTCCAGTTTGATCTTGACGCCCCTGTGGAGGGGACAGTTTTGCAGCCTAAGTTCCACTACAGGTTTGATTGGTATTTTTGTATGCAGATATTATGTATTTCTGTGAGCCATAATCTCATTTTCTGTTTTGCAATCTGCAGTTGTCTGAAGGCATTCTTGAAACGCTGGAGAACCTTCCAAACCCTAAGTTATACTTCTTACTCTTTGAGTTCGGCTTTCAGGTGTGACATGCACATGCTGATGCCGGATGATAACTATCTGCTCTTTCCAAAGAAGCAGAATTCTAATTATTCTATTGTCTTTTGTACCCTAACTTTTATGCTTTGCAGCTTTTGTGTGAGTTGAAATTGGATCCATTAACTAGTGGTCGAACCATGGATCTCCTGAGCAGCAAAAAAATATCAGTTCTTTTTTTTTGGGTACAAGAGATCTTGCTTCTCCTTATACTTGAACAATTTCATGCTTTTCTGTTTGCTGCCTCATCCAAGTCACAATTCACACTTATTATTTACTCGTCCTTTTTTTCTTGCGTTCTTTGATGTTGCAGCATCTCGATACCATTGGTGTTGCTTCGCTTCCAAAAAGAAGTGGCAGCCAGGCGCTCCGTATTAGTTCCCTTCATCAGGTACATATATTCTACATTTTCTGTGTCAAGAGTATCCGACTCTGATTAGTTTCATGACACTATCTTAGCAATTTTACTCTATCCTATCAACCATTCTGTATCTGATTTTTTTCTTTCCGAGAATGTTAACTGCCCTTGTGCAATATTTTGTTTTTGTCGTAGAATGTCCCCTGGCTG